CGTGCCGCTGTGGCACAGAGGGGTGGGTTGTGCCAGCCTGCCCAGAGGCTCTGCCGCCTCCCATGCCATCTCAGCATGGCCTGGGAAGGGAGCCGATGCCCAGGGTCTCCCCACACACCCTAGGCTGTCTAGCAGCCCCTCCAGTACTCAACCCCACCCCCATCCCCTCAGCGGGCTCTGCTCACTCAGACCTGAGCCCCCTGGGGCCTGGAGGGAGTTGGCTGGGTGGGGGAGAAACATAAGCCAGGCTTGGCCACCCTCAGAGCCCCCGCCAAATGAGGGCATCCACAACGTGCCCAGAGCCTCCCTGCGGTCCCCTGTGGGGGTGGCGCCCTTTTGCTCTGGCCTGGTGGCAGTTACTTGGGTGCACAGGGAGGAGCCTCTGCCTGAGCTGCTGCCCCACCACTCAGGGAGGCCCTGGGCATCACTGCCAGGCACTCAGCCCGGGGTGCACGGGGAGTCAGAAGGCACGGAGCCAGAGCCGTAAGGCCAGAGCAGGCCGAGATGAGACCGGGCAGGACGGCCGAGGGCCAGCCAGGCCCAGCTGGAGGTGGTGAGAGCTGTCTTCTTGCTGAGAGCAACTGGACGCCCTGGGAGGCAGCTGGGCTGACATCTGGGATCTCTGACCGCTGGGGACGGTAGGGAGGCCGTGCAGCTGGGAGGCCTGTGAGGTTCCAGTGTGATGGGGGATGGAGCCCAGGGAGCACTGGCTGCGCAGGCCACCCTCCTGCCCTCCATCTCCTGCTCCCATCCGGGCTCAGGGATCATGAGCGGCCTGCCCCAGGAGCTGCGGGGGTCAGCCAAGGCCCCCTGCTGGGCTCTCAGCTGGGAGGTCCGGGTGAGGGCTGTGCACTGCTCCACAGGCTCCAGCACTTCGGGAGTGAGACGTGGGTCCCCTTCACCATGGCAGCCAGATGGCCTTGGGGCAGTAACCCAGGACTCGGCCCTGCCTCCCTGCAGGCTGCTGTCCTGCAGGGACAGAAGCCCCTCATTCACCCGGCTCCCTCCCTTCCTGACTCCTCGGAGCCACACCTGGACCAAACAGTGTCCAGGAAGGTGGCTCACTGTCCTCGAAGAGGCGGGCACTGGAGATGGGGAGGGCCAGGGCCCGCCACCCAAGGGTCTTCCCGTGGGGATCTCTGCACCCTGCGGCCCGGGAATCCAGGGCAGCTGCCCTGTGTGGGTGCACCCCCAACACAGCAGGGGACTGCAGCTGCACACTGACTGCTGGCCCCGCCTGGCAGGCCAGGACTCTGTCCCCAGGAAGCCCTGTCCCATCCCCTCAGCCTCCCTGACCCTCTGCCCCTGCCCGGGGGTGCCCTCTGAGCCCTCCAGTACCAGGGACTCAGAGGCAGGTTTTCAGCTGGCGCAGGCGAGGCATGTGCAGGCCACTCAATCTGATCGGGGGCTTGGGCCCAGGTCCTGGGCCCGGCTGGTGACCAGGCTGCCCGGGATTTGGACAGAGCCTTCTGGCTGAGAGTGAGCTGTGCTTCCGCCCATGTCCTGAAATGCTAAATATAGCGGCCAGGGAGGGGAGTTTCCGGTTACAGCCCCCCCACCCCC